ATTATTTAACAGATGTTTCCATTTGGCATACTTTCCTGATAAATGGAAAAATGCAAAAGTTGTTCCAATTTTGAAGCCGGATAAAAATCCAGCTGAAGCTTCTAGCTACCGTCCAATAAGTTTGCTTTCTTCAATAAGTAAACTTTTTGAAAAGATAATTTTGAATAGAATGATGCTTCACATCAATACGAACTCAATTTTTGCAGATGAGCAGTTTGGATTTCGCCATGGGCATTCAACTACTCATCAACTCTTGAGAGTTACCAATTTAATTCGTTCAAACAAATCTGAAGGCCACTCAACTGGAGTTGCTCTTCTAGACATAGAAAAAGCATTCGACAGTGTTTGGCATGAAGGTTTGATTGCTAAATTGAAAAAGTTTAATTTTCCACTTTACATTATGAAATTAGTTCAAAATTATTTAACTGACAGAACTCTGCAGGTAAATTATCAAAATTCCAAATCTAATCGACTACCTGTTAGAGCAGGAGTTCCTCAGGGTAGCATTCTTGGGCCTATATTGTATAACATTTTCACTTCGGACCTCCCTGATTTGCCTCAGGGTTGCCACAAATCTTTGTTCGCTGATGACACAGGCATTTCCGCTAAAGGAAGAAGTCTTCGTGTTATTTGCAGCAGACTTCAGAAAAGTTTAGATATTTTCTCTTCTTATTTACAAAAATGGAAGATTTCTCCCAACGCTTCCAAAACTCAACTTATAATATTTCCACATAAGCCCAGGGCTTCCTTTTTGAAACCTAGTAGTAGTCACATAGTCACTATGAACGGAGTTCCAATTTCCTGGTCAAACCAAGTGAAATATCTTGGATTAATACTTGACCATAAATTAACTTTTAAAGATCACATTGAGGGCATTCAAGCCAAATGTAACTAATATATAAAATGTTTGTATCCTCTTATTAACAGGAAATCCAAACTTTGCCTGACGAATAAACTTCTAATATTTAAACAAGTTTTTAGACCGGCCATGCTTTACGCTGTGCCAATATGGTCTTGTTGTTGCACTACCAGGAAAAAAGCACTTCAAAGGATTCAGAACAAAGTTCTGAAGATGATTCTGAAGTTGCCTCCCTGGTACAGTACTACCGAAGTACATAGAATTTCGAATGTTGAGACTTTAGAACATATGTCCGGCAAAATAATCAATAATTTCAGGCAAAAATCGGTGCAATCCTCAATTGCAACGATTAATTCTCTTTATACTTAGATAAGATTTAGTTTTAGTTTTTAGTTTATAGATATCAATTGTTATACTGACATGAAGGTTTAAAAAAACCTGTTTAAAATACTGAATTGCCAAGACAGGAACAATGTAAAAACACTTAGATATATATCATAACAATTAAGGCTGGTAAGTTACTGTAGTAACTGGAGCACCTAGGTTAAAATGGAATGTATTTTGAATTTGGAACAAATAAAGAGTTAAAAAAAATGAACTACACAAAATGTAAGCGATTTCTGTGGTAACAAGCCACGCTGTGATCAATGTGGGGAGAAACATACGGAGGGTTCTTGCCTTGCCTCCCCAAAATGTCCTTATTGTTTGGAAATTCCGCATGCTCTCGCAGATTGTCCAAGATACAAACAGCAGGGAGAAAAACTCCACCGGTCTTTGAAAGCTCGCTCGCAGCGTTCCTTCGTGGAAATCCTAAGATCAGTTACTCCATCTTCCCCCCGCCTCACCTAGGAAGCGATACAAAATGATCACGCAACAGCCTCAGGAGGCCTCTCGTATTGAACCTCGAGCCTTCTTGAAGAAACCAGGAAGTAGCGGTAATGTTCCGAAAGCCCCTCCAGCGGGTTTCAAACCATTTGATGTTGATAGGGACTTTCCACGGCTTCCAGCTTCTTCCAAGGTTCCGGATATTCCAGTTCCACAGCACAGGACAACATATGCATGTAGGTAATTGGTGGATTTGTTAGTTAATTCAACGCTTTTGGACAATGCTGGACATTTACCAGTTTTCCAATAGTTTTTGTTGAAAATCAACATTCAAAAGCACTTTTATCGATGCGTAGCCATATTTCTGATCGATTGGTGATAAAATTAATGAAATTGGACCAGGGGCAGCTGAGTTATTAACGTTCAAAATCTTTCTTAATTTGTTACATGTTCCATTTTCAGTTTTCACAAAGTGTACCCCCATATAGAAATCAAAGACGTAGTCCTACGTCAAAAATGAATTCAAGCTGAAGATTGCATTAGGTTCTAAGTAATATTGACAGATTCGCTTCGTCAACTTTCTCTTTGCATCCCCACGGTCATGTAAAGACATTCCCAGGTATTTTCAGCACATAAATCGATAAAAGAAGCTTTTATCTAGCATCCAATACGACAAACACATCAAGAAACGGTTCTGTGAATAAGTTATCAACGAAAGAGAAAGTTGCGATTTTTTGCGCTTTGGGAGATATTAATGTTCAAAAATTGTGTTTTTTTTTCTCGTTTTTTCAACAATATCTTTGAAATTTGAAGCTTAATCCAGTATGTTTCTTCACAAAAGCTATTTATTTAATGTATTTGCATAAGAGAATAATAAAACATTATAAAGCTGTAAGCAAAAAAACCGAAACAGAAAAAAACCATATTTTCGACATTTTTTTCTTTAACTCCATATAACTTGGAACCAGTAGACAGTGGAAATTTAACGTCTTTGAAATAGCTGTTTATTTTGTCAAGATAAACAACTTTGCCCAAAACATCAAGTCTCCAAAACGTCAGAGAAAGAAGTTAGATTGTGGCACCATCTTTGCGGAAGAGTTTTGAACTATTTGTTTATGTCAATAGATGGTCCTTATTATGACGAGAAATTTTGCCGAAGACACCAAGTCGCGGAAATGCTTCGTTTCGGAGTTATTAATTTTGATCCGCTAGGTTGCATTCCTGACCCAGTGTGCAATGTAAGCATTAGACATTTTAAGAAATTGCGCTTGGTGTTTTTCTTGCCTGCTGTCCTCTGTCGCCATATTGTCATTATGAAAATGCCATTAGCCTTGGAATAAAATCCAAGAAATTTCAATAAAATAATGGCTAAATAAGAGATCCGAAATGATTTCCAGTGTGCATTGGTATGAATTTATGTATTGAGATCAATTTTCTGTAAAATTAAGGTAATTCCATCAAATTCATTTGATTTCTGAAACAATCTTTTTTGTTAACTTGAATTATTTTGGAGGCGCATTTATTTAACGCTCATATTATCTCAATATACACGATAACATTTCAAGCGCATATGTTTTGGAACTTCTAAAAAGTCATATATTTTCTTTAAAATTTTCACTAATGTCGCATGAAACAAAATTGATGGCATGGTGATCTTGACACCAACACTCAAGCATATTTTTAACGCTAAAGATTTCCATTTGGAAAAAAAGTTTCAGCAGAACAGAACAACAACAAGCTAATTTATGGCGGTTGCTTTGAAGCCAATAAAAATTAAATTGGCTTTATAACTGATTATCACCAAAGCGTAATAAAACTGCTTGGATACAATATTACTCTTATAGAGGCTATGAGAACCTTTTGTAGGGTATGAGGCTTCCTGACAAAAGGTTTTAAGACAGCTTTATTGTGATTCTCAAACATGCTTTATAAACCTTATCAAGAGTGGTCCACTAAGCTGTATGACGATCTTATAGCGGTTATCAAAAGGTTGTGCTGGAGCTATTAATTTTATTGGCAGTTTTATGAAATTGATCTCAATAACCACTAATAGAGTGCAATAAAACAAGAAATGCTACTTGGGCATGCAGCCATGTTCACATTTTCTGGAATTGTTGATGGCATTCTCGAAATTTTGTATGTGTCTGACTCCATGAGGAACATTATTGTATTCATAATTCCAATATTGAATACTCTTTAGAAGCAACTAGCTTCTAAATGGCCAATGCTTTCGTCGCTCATCACCTTTGACGCTTACAATTACTAACGTTTGAGAGTGTGGTAGTGTTTTGTCGGTTCGTGTATCAATTTAAGTTTCTGTTCTCTCATTGTTGTCCCTTCCCAAGCCCCTCGTTCAAGAGCACTTTCCCGTCATCTCACTGCATCTCTCATGGTCAATCGTCAAAAAACAATCATCAAACGGCGGTGGAGATAAATATATCAATCGCATCCTAGTGTACCTTTTCCTTGATCCCTTCCCTACCTGTTAATAGATTGTAGCCCGTAACCTCGAGTAAGCCGCGAGTATTCGGAAACCTCTATTAACTCTATTTTTAAGAAACGTTGTAAAAAGTAAAATGAATTTCGGCTCCGTAAAGCTTCCGCATTCGTACCTTGATAAAAAAAATGAATTTAAAAAAAAACTAAATTAAGTACCTAGTTTTTTTTAACAATATTTATTTTGAAACTTTAAATTGGTATTTTCACCTAGTTGATAGGGGAAAGCTTATTATTGGAGACCTCAATCAGTTTGATCATGGATAGTGTGAAATTGCCAACTTTTGATCTTCGTGTAATGCAGTGTGACGATCCACCACAGTTTTAATATTGGAAATAATTCTAACATTTCATATTTGTTGACCTGCCACGTTTTCTTTCATGCACCATGTACTGTGCATTCAACCAAACCAAATTACATTTATATATTTAGAAAGCCACCTTCTTTAAAAAGTGGAAGACAACAATTCCTGAAATCCTTCAAGATCATCGATACTTTTTAACAAATCATTAAAAAAAAAAAAAGAACAAGATCGATGCCTCACAACATAACCGACTAGATTCCGGTGATTTTTCAAGTGCTATTGGCAACCGTTCCAAGCCTGGATCTCACCATCACCCGCGAGAGCATTCAGAACGCAAGAGAGCTGTAGCTCCGTGCCGAATTTCTTCCCACCAGAGCTCGGTTTATTTGGTGGAAAGATGCTGCGAAATATGCGGTGGATGTCCGGATTCGGTGAACCCATCCCGTGCGAAGAGGTCCAACCCGCGACCAGTCGAAAATGAGATTTGCTCACGTTCGGATCGGTCCTAGCTTTGCGGCATCGTCGGTGCTTTAGCGTTGCGGCGCAAACTTGTGTGGTTGTTGTTTGGTTGTCTGGTGTCTGTGGCTCCTCAGCAGCACAGTCTTAAATTTTCCTTTCGGAGTCCTTGCGGGTGCAGTATTTGTGTGTGCGCTTTCACTTGTGCTTGGCTTACTGTCCGCCGCGAAGCAAGCGGTCCTAGGGCCTGGAGCTTTTCCACGAGGGGGAATCGTTTTTCGGGTAATGTGACCCAGCAGCCAGCGGCGGGGGAATCATCGAAGTGAAAAAGAGTAGGAATCACGCGAGCGAAATATGATAAGAAGTACATAATCTAATTTTTGGATGAATAAATGAAATGCGTATACAGTGTGCAGGAATCCTTGAAGTGAGCCTCGATGAAAGAGAGCAAATAGGAGATGAAGTAAATAAATATTTATGATAAAAGAATAACGTAGTCCGGAGTGCTGCTCTTGGAGTCGGGGAAAGTGGAAAAAGTTTGTGTAAGATGTTTGCGAGCAGCTTGATGCAGACAAAGTGACAGTGGAAGGCAGTCCGTTTAAGGATATGGATCATGTGGAATGGGAATGGAAGTTGGAATTCAATTTTCCCGCCCACTTCGGCTGTGGATGGCGGCAATGGTGGTCTCGTTTCCCACTCGGTTCGCCAGCCTGGGTGATCTGCGATATTGGATTTTAATATCTGCCGCCGTCGAAGTGCTGTCAAAGGATAACCCTAGAGATGCAGACAGCGTACTATTCGGAACGGCTGGAGAGCAAAAAAACATTCGTTGTGAAAGCAGGATGAATCCAAAGTGTGCCCGGTTTATGCTGTCGTTGTCGTCGTCGGCGTCGGCGGCACGGCCCGGTTTGGCGAAGAAAAGCGAAGCACAGTGTTATGCAATCATGCTCTGTGTTTTTTCGCTCCTATTTCTGTGCGCTTTTTTTATATCCATATTCATCGTTTCAGCTAGTGCAAGTTGGGTGGGTTTGGACGTCTGTAGGACTCACGGGCAGGAAGGCTACTTGAATGATTATGAAAATGTATTCCGATTGGGATGGATTGGAGCGAAAAAGCAGACGCCAAAAGGGTTACGGGTATGGCTTGTTTTATGTGCTTTGAGGCTGAGGCTTTGATCGACGTTCCATTTACTTAATTTGAAATCGGTGTGGGTTGGACATGCTAGTGGACTTGTTCCAGCGTCTACAATATAGTGGTTTGTAAGGTATTTTATTAAATTGTTTTCTTTTTACTTTTAGATATGCAAGCTAACTTAGGTATTATTTTAATGTTTTGAATCTCAAATGCACTCTGAATTAAAATATAACAGGATTTCCTAAAAGGAAACATTAATTTTTACACTGAAGACCATTGGAGCTACTCTGCAAGTCATGTGATATTAGAGGCACTAAAGTGGTTGGATGAGCAGGCTTTTCTAAAACTATGTAGGGTCTTTGCTGGAGTCTTACGAGCTTTTGCGTTGTTACTTTGGGGCTTTAATTTATTTCAAAGTATTAAACATAAACAAACTTATATCTAAAATAATAATAATAATTTCCAAATGTTGGCTATTGAATATTGAATATCCCTGCAGGCAATAAGGGCTCTGAAAGAGCCGACTTAACCACTCTTGGAGCCCTTGGTCGATTTTTCGATTATTATTTTTTTTCTATCCTGCTTTTATGTAAATTTTAAATGAATCAACTCAATTTGTTTACAATTTATTTTTCACTCATTTTAATCTATCGCGAATAGTAGGAGGTCATTATTTCCACATTTGGGAAAACCAATTTCCCAAATAGCAATTTTGTTTTCAGCACAGCCTTTTTGCCCATGTTTTGGACATATTGAATGCTTTATAACCTTGATACAACTTGCAATACTATACTAATTTTACACGTGACGAAATCCATCTTTGACATAAAAGATGAGACGTAAACAAACATTTCCTGTAATATTAGGTGCTCCAAGACTGAAAGTTTCGTTGCTCGACGAAAATTACGTTTGGTTGAGCATATAGCATCTGTTATGACTCGATTAATTTGTTGCGATCAATGGAAGGAGTAGGCTGTGCGTGTGATCGAACCTGACGTTTGTTTTTTGCGTGGAGTTTTTTTTTATCTATAATCGGTTGCTGATCTGGCCAAAACCAGGTCCAGGAGACAATTTATAGTTCCTCAGTCCCTATTATTTGCCGCTGAGAAGCTGTTCCGAAGACAAGTAGAACCTCTACGAAGCGTCCCATCATTCGTCCCATCATTAGCTTCATCATTCGTTGAGTCGCAGCGTTGAACCTGACTATTGGCCACGAGAAGGCTTGCCAATGCACATCAAAAATCGACTACATACATCCGAATATTTGTTTATCTCAAATCGATGGAAGACATTCCGCGCAACTACCATAAACCGGACTAGTTCATATTAAACTTCGTCAAGCTTCGTCTACAATTTGGACTTATACATCAATATATGTCATGTAGCCTTCAATTGCCTAAACTTGGTGAGTTCGTTCCATTTTGTAATTTTTTATCTTTTCAAACCCAGTTAAAAAGTAGTCATACGTTAAAAATAGACGTCACATTTAGGTTGACATTTCATTGTGAAAATTAGTGAGGGGCATTCGAATGGAATATTAAATGTTAATATAAATAAATTTGATTTTTTTTTCATTTCACGCTGAAATCAGGACTTTAATGCGTTTCTAAACTCGCGAAATTGAATGCTGCGAAAATAACAATAACAAACTTTACACTGCTTCAATTTAATGCACATTAAATTTTGTAACGTCGATCAAACAATTCCTCGAAGTTCCCCTCAGTGTTTTTTGACGTTTGACAAGCCAGCCAAGTTAGCGAGTGGAATTCACTAACATGACTGCGCTTTTAGCCAAGTTATCGAACAAGTACTGTATAAAATCTACCACTGAACCCTAGTCGAGACAACTTTAAACTAGGGAATCAGGATTTTCCAGTAATGAAAGGATTACATTTTAGTGCTTGTTACTTTTTATAACTTGATAATAGTGACAAGAATCGGGTAGTGACCACCGCTGTTATGCATTTCTATATTATATATTTCAAATCAAAAATATTGATTATGTTCGTAGAGTTTACATAATCCTTTTCCCTTTGTCCTTCTCCTTTTCCTTTCCGTCTTCTCTTTTCAGAAAGCGAGTAATGGCGCTATAGCCATTAGCCTTAAAAGGCTAGGACAAGAGTTAGTGCTCATGTCCCAACCGTCAGAAGAAAATGGAGCATCACTTAACCTTTCTAGCTTTGATGCTTCCAACAACCAACCAATCATCTAATTACCAAAATCGGAACGTACGGTACGAGATGTCCACGTTTCATCCATTTATTGGATTCTGAAGCATCGTGCCCGATGTTTTCTCTATCATCTTGCCCCTTAAATGCTGCACATTAGGCCTGGCCGTTTTGATATATGTGACGCATCTTCGATGTGAAACATATATCAGATAGAAAAGACAAATTATGAAGGTATATCCATTATTTTCCAGGATGCTTTCAAGAACTGGCTGTGTTGTTGTTAGATTAGATTAGATTAGATATAGCATCTGCTATGACTCAAATTTTTGTCAAAATTGATGCTCGAATATGTCACTCTCAGAGCACTTAAATTTACATGAATTTTTCCAAGTGTGTATGTTAATAATTAGTTCATACAACTCATCTTCTTCTGATTTACATTTCTACTTTACTAAAAAAAAAACAAACTAGATGACTTTCTAGTCGTAGTGCATTGGAAAACACACACATTTTCCATTCGCCGAACGTGAACATTACAGAATACAGCCCGTGAGTATTTCGTGTTGCAAAATGCTCCTGGTCACTTAATCTTATCCCAATCCCAAAGTATCGCAATCCTAGTATTTGATATCTTCTCAACATGAAATGTGCAAATTTTCACAATAAACCTAATAAAAATTTAAAATCAAATGCATTCTAGGCGGTGGGAACAAGAGCTAAACAGAAAACTAAAACAGATGGTACTTTGTAGAACAAGCAACTTTGTCGAAGACCGTAGAGCTGTAGAAAATTTCCTCACGGTTCTAGAGATTTTGGTCATGGTACCGGTCTAACTATCCTGATGTTCTTCTATAATCTGACAGTACATGTGGGATTTTTTTTCTTTTCATGTCATCAACTTGTGTGATTTATTGCTTCAAGCAAATACAAAACTAACCATCGGTTAATTTCTTGAAACATCTTATTGCGACGGATATGATTCATGCCTTTGAGTCGAGGGCCTCCTCGAAATGGCTTGAAGCCAATATCGTCTTCTTCTTCTATGCATTTCAAGCTTATTGCTCATCGCTTATTTCTTATCGCTTATTAGCTTATTGCGTGCTCTCAACTTGGTGTTCTAGATGCACTTCCACAGTTATTAATTGAGAGCTTTTGACGCCTGTACCATTTTTGCATTAGTATAATAATGTGGCAAGTACAATCATATAATCTATGCTCAGGGAAGTCAAGCCATTTTAAATGTTCTGGTAAACGAGATTAAAGTTCATGCGTTGAATATCGTGAACCTGTTCTCGAAAACGGGAACATGGTTCATGAACAGTAAAACGTCAACATTATATAATGTTTTGATTGGATTGTACAGCATGGAAATTGAAGGAGACTGAAAGCGACGGAAGACTTGGGTGGAACAACCGAACAATGCAGGTTCCACCCAAGCATGGGAAAATTCATTCACGCGCGCGAGCACTACAGAATTAAAATAGGCATCCTCACCTACAAACAGATTGCCGAACGAGTGTAAAATCTTCCAACCTAGTGACTCTGCAGGTCGACTCAGAACTGACAGCAGTAGAAGGAAAGAAGGATAAACTGAAAGACAACCGAGCAATTATCTCTACACGGTAACCGCAAAATATCCAATAGGATGCTGCACGCTGACGTCACGAATGAACGCGATGAACCCGCATTCATCAGTTTGACATTCAGTGGTGGTTTGTTTACCTATGCTTTTTAGGCAATTCAAGTGGATTTAAGGTTTTAAATATAAAGAACTAAAACATATGATATCCGACTATGTTCCTTTGAAAAATATTACACTCCAAAAAATCTAAAAAAAAACATCCATGTAAACAAACCACTGCCAAATGTCAAAAAATGTGAGGTTAAACCGACGGTGCAACTCTTTATAATGACTACAAAGTAAGCATTTTCGAGGGAGACTGGGACTACCCATTAAATGAGTAAACATATTACCCA